TTCTGCTCTGGCACATTTTCTCCAGTTCAGGCTCTTTTTCAGCTTTCCTCGACCCTGTCAGCTGAAGAGGAGAGAGGCCTGGATGGAGGCAGTTTTCCAGCTGGTGGATTCCTAGAGCTCGTGTGGATAAAAACTGCAGGACTCTGAAACCCCAGGGGTTCCTGGCAAAAGGTCCATTCCACTTTCCACACCTCCAAAGGAGGAGGCCACCTTTAGTCATGGAAGAAGCCTTTTTCCTCATCTGTGGAGGACACAGAGATCCCAAGCTCCTGATCTGGAAGCTGCAGTCAGGAGGTTTCTCCTGTCTCTCATGGCACAGCCATAAGAGTGTCTCCACTTTTCTCGCTCCTTTCCTACTAACTTACTGCTTTTATTACCAAACCAAACACTGAACAGCAGCCAGGAGAGATCCAGGGCCTTGGAACATCAAGGATCACCTTAGGGTAGGTGTGAGGGAGAAGGGGGGGGAACAGGGATTGTTTTCTTTGCTTAGATGGATAAGTGCTGATGAAAACATTGGAGAACATGTGGTGCTGAATGGATCCAGGGCAGGAGCACTGCCCTTGGTTTGGTTGATTGTTTTCCTTTGCTCAGAAGCCTTGGCACAATCCTCTCTCCAGAGCAGCAGGAGAAGAGGGAGTCTGGTCCCAGTCCAGTGCTGCATCCATGGAAGGAGAGGAACAGCCTAGAGTAATGACCGATGCTTGTATTACACATGAAAATCAAACCAAATAAACACTGAAATGGACTTTATTGAGCTGCAGCACAGAGGAGTTCAGGGAGCAGAGGGGGAAGGTCACTGTTACTCAGGCACGAGGGCGTTTTTCAGGAGCGTTTTTATCTCGGGGCTGAGGCTCTTGGGGAAGCAGATGTTGAAGTAGATGAGGAGATCCCCCTTCTGCTGGGGGTCCTGGGGCAGTGGCATTCCCTCCCCAGGAACTACCTTGCAGTACCTGGGGCTGCCAAACAAAGGAAGGGGCTGAGAGGAGCCCCAGGATGATCTCCAACACTGGGACCCCCAGCCCCACCTGCAGAGCCCCAGGGGCTGTCTCAGGTCAAGTTCAACCAGAGACTTTTCCTCCTCTTTTGGGCTCCACCATCCACCCTCATCTCCCTCTTGACTCCCATCCACCCAAAAACGGCCCCAGACCAAAGAGTCACCCCCTGTGGGCATCATCCTCCTCCTCCAGCCCCAGAACTGCTGGGAAAGGCTTTGGAGGTTCCTCAGAGCGCCCGCTCACCTCCGTGCTCACCAGGATCCATGGAAAAGCCCCATTTCCCCATGGCACTTACTCCACAATGTCGTTGATGGGGATGTTGAGCAGCCTCCCATCCAGTGTCCACACATCCAGGGTGCATCCAGTCAATGCCTACGGAGCACGGAGCAGCACTGGGAGCTGCTCCTGCAGCCCCAGGGGCCAGAGGTGGAGCTCCGTCCCTCCCCTCGGCTCTTTACCTTTCCCAGTGGGATTGAGGCGACATAAATGAGGTTGTTGTCGACTCTTTTAAACCTTGAGTGAAGCTTCTCTTGGACAACAAAGATGATGTCAGCTGGAATGACGTTGGGGCCCTAAAATTGAGGGGAATAAAGAGATCATGGAATCATGGAATCACAGGGTGGGTTGGGAGGGATAATAAAGCTCATCCAATTCCACCTGCCTTCCACAGACCCTCCACACTTTCCACTAGACCAGGTTGCTCCAAGCCCCATCCAACCTGGCCTTGAAAACCTGGAAATGATTTTACACAGGGAAAGTTGACACAAATTCCTGATCTTTTGCTGCTGCTTTCAGCTGGAGAAGGGAAAGGTATTTTCTTTCTTTAAGGAAAAAAGGAATCTTTTCTCAGACTCCTGCTCAGCCAAGGGAAATTAAACTGGGCTTCCCAAGTGCCAGGCAGGAAACCACCCCTTCCAATTATTGCTTTTTATCTGAGGAAAATCCAGGCAGGAATGGCTCCTCGGAGTGTTTCCGAACACAGGAATGCTGTAATTGCTCCAATGGTTGTGCTGCCAAGTGCCCTCAACAATGGGAAACCAGAACTTCATGTCACAGGAGAACTTCTTTCCATGGAGGGTGAGGTTGCTTCCAGCCCTAAGAACTCTGGGATCCTGGGATTACCTGGTCTCCTTCCTTCTCAAAGGTGATCCTGGTGCCGCGCTTCCATCCCGGCTGCACGTCGATGGTCAGGATCTTATCCCTGATGGTGCTGGTTTGGCCATCCTCGTTCATCACCTGGGCAGGATACCAAAGAGGGAGGGTCAGGACTGCTCCAATCCCCTGGCACAAGCCAGCAGAGAACAGGGAAAGGATGGATTATACTTCGTGGTGGGTCCAAATCAGAACTGTGGGATCACTAAGGTTGGAAAAGCCCTCTGAGACCATTGAGTCCAACCATCCCCAGCCCTGCCAAGGCCACCACTAACCCCTGTCCCCGAGTGCCACATCCACACATCCTCTAGGAATGGGGACTCCAGCACTGCCCACAGCCCATTCCCATGTCACCCTTTCAGGGAAGGAATTTTCCCCAACATCCAATCTAAACCACCCCTGGCACAACCTGAGGCAGTTTCCTCTTGTCCTAGAGCAGGAGAAACTCAGGGCTGGATCCAGGAGACAAAGGGCACAAAGGGCACAGCACAGTATGAAAATGGAATTGTGGGAGCCCAGAACATGCCAACCCCCTTCTACATCCACCTCCAAAATCAGCCCTTGCTTCCCACCAGCTCCTGCATCACCTCCCATGCTGAATTCCCTTTGCCAAGCCCGGAGAGGAGGACACTGGTTCAGCTCCTGCTGGGTTTGGTGCCAATCCCTCCCTGCGGCACAGCCCCAAATCCCTCAACATCCCACATGGACAGAGGGGACAGCCCATCCCAAAATCCAGCTCCACGGCCCTACCCTGCGGGAGATCTTGATCTTCTTGGTGCAGCCATGGAACAGATCCTCGAGGGACACGTAGAGGTCCCGGATGACAGGAGGGTCCTGCCGGAGCGCCCCCCGGCCCCGGGGCCCTCCAAAGGGCAGGAGCACCTCCGAGCCATCCTCGGCAAAGAATTCTGCAGGAGGGAGCACAGGGATGGCCCCTCCCTCAGGTCAGAGCCGGGGGGGCCTCAGGGGTCTTCATCTCCCTTCTTCTCCCACCCCGAACCACCTGAAGTGGTTTTTTTCCAGGAGTGTTTCCGCCTCACTCATGTTTATAGCAGCCTCGTCCCCCTAATCCCTCTTTTTGGTGGGAATCCTCCCAGGAAAGGTCACAGGAGCAGCTAGGGAGAGCTGACAGCCTGAACATGCACCTCCAGCCCTCTCTCCCACCCACGGCTGGGGGAAGTCAGGATCTAAACTCCAGTTACCAGAGGGATCCCAGAGCAGTTGGGCAGGGAAACATCCCTGGAAAGCTTAAAGCTCCAAGCATGGAATCACAGCAACTATGGATGGAGTCTGAGCCGCCCGCCTCAGAATCCCCCATCCTACCTGCAAAGGGGTTGTCCCCACCAAAGAACTCCTTGAAGGTTTTCTCGGGGTTGTTGTGGAACACGTATCCCACACTCCAGGGGTTGTCACTGGCCAGCTCCAGGGGGATGCCACCCTTGAGCCCCTCTTCTCCAAACTTGTCGTAGATGCCTTTCTTCATGGCTTAGGGAACAAGGAGGGGTTGGGAATGGGGGAGAGCCTCAGCCTGAGATCCGGGATTTGCTTGGGTGGAGGTGGCATAAGGGAGTTCCCAGCAATGGGTGGGATGGATGTCGGAGCGTGTGCCAGCTCCCAGCTGAGCTGTGAGTCACACAGCTGGTGGCACCTCCCTGGGGTGCCAGGAACCAGGGATTCACACCCACTTCCAGCCCCTCCTGCCCCTAAAATCCATGGAAGGGAACCCCCCTCCCCACTTACGGTCGCTGAGCACATCGTAGGCCTCTGCCAGCTGCCGGAACCTCGAGGGCCCCCAGGGCTCCTTGCATTTTAGGGGGTGGTACTGCAGGGCCAGCCTCCGATAGCTGCGGATCATGGGATGGTTTAGGTCGGGAAGGACCTTAAGGATCATCTCATCCCACCCCTGCTGTGGGCAGGGACACCTTCCACTAGCCCAGGTTGCTCCAATCTGGCCTTGGACACTTCCAGGGATCCAGGGGCAGCCACAGCTTCTCTGGGCAATGTGTGCCAGGCTCTCCCCGTCCTCCCAGCCAAGAATTCCTTCCCACTATCCCATCTAACCCTGTACTTTGTCTATGTGAATCCATTCCCCCTTGTCCTGTCCCTCCATCCCTTGTTCCCAGTCCCTCTCCAGCTCTCCTGGAGCCCCTTTAGGCCCTGCAAGGGGCTCTCAGATGTCCCTGGAGCCTTCCCTTCTCCAGGTGAACCCCCCCAGCTCTCCCAGCCTGGCTCCAGAGCAGAGGGGCTCCAGCCCTCATTGCCCTCTGGACTCTCTGTAGGGGACAGCAGGGACCCCATCCCCACATCCAGCCCTTCCCAGCCCTCTCAGACCGTTCACCCCCGCCCCAGTCCCGCTGTGGGGCACACGGGGAGGCCAAGTGCAGCCACCCACGAGGTCGCCCCCGCTCCCACCGCTCCCCCCCGGGCCCCCAGAACTCCCCCGGTCCCGGGGGTCCCTCACGCCTTCTTGATGTCGTCGGCGGTGGCCCCGCGGTCCAGCTCCAACACGGCGTAGTAGTCCACGCCCATGGCGTCTCGTTGCTATGGCGAACGCGGCACTTCCTGTTCGCGCCGCGCGGGGCATCACGGGAGTTGTAGTTCCACGTCACTTCCGCACTCTGACCCCCCCCCCCCCCATCCCTCCCCTCCTCTCTTTTTTCTTATAAACCTCCCAAATTTCCTTGGGAAATTCTTTTCCCACACCGGTGTTATCAAAGCAGCCGCTTTATTTCACTCCATACTGTGACACAGTCACTTTCAGCACTCCCCCACCCCCCATTTATTTATTTTCCCCCCTACAAACAGCACTTTTTCAGCACTGAAAAAAAAAAAAACAACAAAACAACTCCATTGCAACACAACATCATCTCTACATTAAAATTTGATCCCAGTTGTGTTGAAGGCAGAAATATGATCAGCCACCAAAACACTCTGTCACCACAAGAGCCTCAAATTGTGCATACACATCCCAGGAAAATCAGCTTGGAAGAGCCATCCTGACACATTTCCTCACTATTTGGTCCCTTCAAACACTTAAAGGTCAGAAAGTTGGTATCTCCTCACTATCCCGTCTCTGCAGCACGTGTAAATCTCCTTCTCCCAAGAAGCCACCTGGGGAAGAGGGGGGGAAAAAAAAGCAGTTTTTACACAGGAAGTGACACTTCCACATAAAATCCTACTTTTTCCCTCAGGATCTTTCCAGAATCCTTAATCCACACTTTTTATAGAAACACAGCCCTGCCAGAGCCACTCTAACTCCACAGTTCTGCTCCTGCACGATGGAGATGAAGCCAGGGAATACCACAGAGGATTTGTTTATGCAAAACATTGGGAATATTCAGGAGGAAAATCTAAAGATAAGATCAAAAAGTCAACTGTGTGAACGAACTTGCTGAGGGAAAAGGCAGCTTTCCCTCTTCCAGGTTCTCCTCAGGGATACTCCTTATTCCTTACCTTGTACACGGGGTCGCAGTCGGCCTCGGTGAGATCCAGGACATAATCCAGGTCTTGCTGGAGGATGAAGCAGGTGCCATCCCCTGGAAGGGAGGGACATCAGCCAATTAGGGAGATGAGCAGTTAATTACAGACAGAAATTCCAGCGGGAAAAGGCTCCGATGGGTGAGATGCACCTTGGAGGCCCCGTTTTGGAGGGACACAAGGCAAAGGGGCAAGAGGACAATTCCCAAAGAGCACAGAGTTCCTTGATTCCACTACAGGATTTCTCCCAAAACAGCACTGGAATTACCTTGGCTGGCAATGAATCCATCTTGGTATGGGAGCAGAGAAAGCACCGGCGCTCCCGATCTGTGGATGACCTGGATTGGAGCGCTGGAAAAAAGAGCAGAAACAAGGGATGAGGATTTCCCAGAGAAGCTGTCGCCGAGAGAAGTCTCCAAGGCCGGGTTGGACGGGGCTTGGAGCAACCTGGGATAGTGAGAGGTGTCCCTGCCCATGGCAGGGGGGTGGAATGGGACGAGCATTAAGGTCCCTTCCAACCCAAACCATTCCATGATTCTCTTCAGGGAACACCAATAAAACTCCACAGCTCAGTTCCAGTCCTACACTGGACTGAGGATCAGGATCCTTCAAAGACTCTCAGGTGAAGGAAAGGAAGGGGCTGTGCTTTTTTTTCTGGGGGGGTGATATTGATGTTAAGAAGTTTTCTACTCAACTTATCTACATTTATTGTGTACTTGGATTATATATATATGTATGGATATATAAAATAATACAGATGTTTATATAACATAATATGCACAGTATATTAACATAACTAATAATTATATAACTATAATATTGATTATAAATAATATAATAAACAATAATACAGAATTAACAATAAAAGTAATAAAAATATTTATAATTATTATATCGTATACAGAATTATTCTATATAAAGAAAATATAGAATATATATAGAATATAAATTAATATTATGTATATACTATCTATTATGTATATAATATACACAATATATATTATATCACTATAATTATTTATAATATAGTTATATTATTAATATGTTATATATAATTATATTATTATAATGAATAATCACACAGATATTAAAAAAGCAATAATCTGCAAGGTAAGGCTATGCCAAGAGGACCCTTTGTCACGGCTCAAGATGGAAAAGCTTTTTGGAAACTAAGGAATCTGCCTGGAACCTGTAGTCTTTTAGGAGGCACCTTCCAGAGAACATCCCATTGGATCACCCACTTGAGCAGCAGGAACCTCTCCAGTGCTTCCCAAGAGAAAGAACTGGCTGCCAGAGGCTCTGGAGCTTCTGGTGCCACGGGACGCACCCCTTGGAAGTGGCACTGCCTGCCAGCCCCCTCCATCCAGCTCTTTTCCCACCAAACCCTGGTTGTTTAAAGCCTTGCAGCCCCAGGCACTCACTCACTTTGTGTTCCTCACATCCAGCTGGTAGATGTTCCCATCCTGAGTCCCTGCCAGGATATAGGTGCTCGAGAGGAACGTGCAGCAGTTGAAGGCGTCAGATCCCACGAAGAGGAACACCTGGAAATTTGGGAACGAACCGAGTGTGAACCTCAGTGGAAAATGGAGCTGGGATAACACTGACCATTTTACCTGTCTAGGTTTATCCTGGCTCAATTCCTCATCCCAATGCTCTGGCAATCCCAGATCCTTACCGGCTGCCTGCTCTGCAGTCCCACTCCCTGAAGCTTCTTGTCCTCCCGGGCCAGCAGCAGGATTTTCCCTTCTGTCCCGATCTCACGCTCACCTGGCAAAAGGACGACAGGTCATTCCAGCAACAGATCCTGATGGGATCAAATCCTGAGAGTTTGGATCACTGCCACTGAACTTGGGGCAACATTCCCCCAGATCCCAAGACACCAGGAAGGCCGGTAATTGAGCAGAGCTCAGTTTAATCCCCCAAACTGCTCGATAAGCCTCAATTGCTGCCCAGGACAGGAGTTCTCTGCTCCCTTCCCAAGGGATTCCTGGTGACAAACCTCAGCAGTTTGGGACAGGGAAGTGAAGGGGAATTTTCAGAGGAAGAGCCTTACTGGGAGGATTTTCGGGCGCGCCCAGGTTCAGGGAGTCGTCGGCAGTGCCTACGGCGATGCCGTTCACGGGGGAGCCACAGTCGGCAATGACACCCAGACAGGCGGATTTCCCGCAGTCCCAGAGCCGGGCAGTGCCATCCCTGGAGCAGGACAGGACATTCCTGCCTCGATCCACGATGGCAGTGTCCAAAATCCCTGCATGGAAGCAAAGGCCGTGTTCAGACACACACAAAAAGCACCTCGTTTCCCAAGCCGAACCCAACGCCCCAAGCCACTGTTCCCAGTGACACCAGTCACACACAGGCAAGTTGTGCCTCTAGGAAAAGGCGCCTGTGGAAGGAAGCAGCTCCCAGAAAACCTTACAGCGTGGGAGCCACCACTTGGCACAAAGGGAAGACATTATCCATCAAATGATCAGCAACACCTCACTTCAGACTGAGCTGACACTGCACAAAATTAATTTGGGCAGAAAACAGCCTGGCCTGGCACTCTTAAATGTTCCCAAGTTCATCCCTGGATAATCCCCAAAGCAGCATCCCTGTTATCCAGCTACAGCAACACCCAAAGAGCAGCTTGTGCAGGTGCTAAGATCCCCTAACTACTTTATTTTACTGTGGGCTGTCAAATCTGGATGTGAAAAATGACCCAGTGGTTTTTTAGCAGGGAACAGTCAGATGGTCAGGAGATTTAATTTGACACTTTCCTTACAGAAAGAGTCATTAAACTTGACAAGGATAAGCCAAGCAGAGTGACTGCAGCAGCTTGGGCTGGAGGTATAGGCAGGGAATAAAGTCACCCTGAGAGCCACGGCCAAGGCACTGTCCCAACACTGCCACGGTTTGGGTACAGGACACCTGTGCCAAAGCCTTTTGAATCCACACAAAGGGATTATGGAATTGGAAGGGACCTCAAAAACATTCTAGTTCCAATCACCAAATTGCATTAGGACGATGCCAGGTTCAGTGTAAGATGGGTTTTTGAGTTAATCAAGTTTAGGGGTTTATTAATCTCTCAGTCAAGCCCGGAACCTTGTGAGACAGAAAACCAGAGCCTGCCCAGAGCAGTTGGTTGCTCAGGGAACAGATAATTTTGGGCAGCGTTTTGGGCATCTGATGCCACATCCACACCTCACCTGGACTTGCTCAGGATAACCCAAGTGCTCCAGTTGCCATCCCTTGGGAAGGAACCACCTGCCACAAGCAGACCGTGGCCACTGTGCTCTGGGCCAGGTGTAAACAGGAGCAGAACAGGTGCCTGCCTAAGCACTGGGCCTCAATCCTAAACCCTCCCAGTGGAGGATCCTGGAAACCAAATCTTCTTTCCAGAGATTACTTGAGTATCCTCCCAGCTGCTCTTGTCCTGCTTTACTCCCTTTAACCAGCACAGGGAGCTGCAAGTCCATAATAATAAACTGCTGTATGGTTTTCTGGGCAAGGAAAAAAACAAACAAAAACCAAAAGGAAGAGGCCCTGGCGCTACTGAAGGTGAGCAGGATAACCTGAGAGCAAGCAGAAGGCATTCCCAGAGCAGGCAGCAAAGCTCCTGGAAGCAGGATGGAGCTCTGGAGAGCTGAGACTGCCCTGGAGGAGCAGAATCCCTGTGCCTCCACCTCTGGAGCAACAGCCTGCTGTATTGCACCCTCCCTCTTTTTAAACTAATTAAGAAAAAACAGGTTGGAGAGAGAAACAAGTTTCTTCTACTACAAAGAACTCCCAACCTTTTTATTCAAGTTCTGGGAGCTTAAAAAAGGTACTGGTGACTGAACATCAGCCCTGGGGTGCAAGGCAAGTTCACACTCAGGAGATGAAGCATTTTAAAGGCTCTGTACCTCCTTTGTGACCTTTAAATGTCACTACACAGCTGGCATCCTCTGCTGACCAGATCTTTAGCTGGGCATCCATTCCCCCACTCAGCACCACGAGGCCAGATGGGAAAAACCTGCAACAATTCACATCATACACATGGCCTTCCAATAGTCTCTGGAAAAACAAAGAACTGTGTGCTAGTTCCATTGTCATCACCTTCATGCCAAGCAATCTTGGAGCTGTGACACTGGAAAACTTGGAATTCCCACGTGGGCAAGAGGATTAAGCTCAAATCCTTGGGGTTTGTGTTGCTGGAATGGGCTTGTCTAAATCTGAGGTGAAGAGGTGACACTTTGGGCTTCCCTCTACCACTTGAGCAGCTAATTATGTAGCAAAGGACACTAAACTTGCTTCTAATTACAGGTTAAATGTCTTTATCCTCTGCCAAACAAGGAGCTGAAGGTCAAGCTCCACAAGAAGCACCTTCACTGAGCAGGCTGATAAGACAGGATGTGGTTAATCCAGCACAGAAACATTTTTTAAAAAAATTCTTTTTTAATGTCTTCTTTTACAATTTCTTTAATAATCTATAATCTTCTTTAATAATTTCTTTTTTAATAATCTTCTCTACTGCAGAACAAATTCAGTGCTTGTACCACAGCTGCTGCACCCTCCCTGTTATTCCTAAGCCGTTCCATTTTCGCCCTGGGACTCTGGATTGCTGAGCAACATTTCCCCTTGGGAGAAGACACCCTTCCCAACAGATTTGACTTAAAGCCTCCAAGATGGGAAATCTCAATCAGCTTTTCATTCAAAAGCCAGATTTTTCCCAGGGTGTGAACAGCCTGACCAAAGTCAGGGCCAAAGGACCTCAGCAATGTCCCACCCAACACGAAACATCAAATTCAGATGCTCTTACTCTTATTTCTCCGTTGGCAGCCTGCCAGATTTTCATGGTCCCATCTGTGCTGGTGGATACACCAAGTCCTCCACCACTGGAAATGTCAAGACAGGTGATCTGCAGGAGGGGAAAAGCACCAAAAATTAGCTTTATAGAGCTATTTCTGCTCAGGAGACTAATTCTGTACTGGGGGAGACGTGCTAAGTACATCATTGTACAGTTCTAGGCGATAACACCTGAATATTGAAACAAGGACCTCATAGGCTTGGACACTGAAGGGCTGGAGCGTGTCCAGGGAAGGGAACAGAGCTGGGGAAGGGGCTGGAGCACCAGGAGCAGCTGAGGGAGCTGGGGGGGCTCAGCCTGGAGAAAAGGAGGCTCGGGGGGACCTTCTGGCTCTGCAAGTCCCTGACAGGAGGGGGGAGCCAGGGGGGGGAGGATCGAGCGCTGCTCCCTGGGAACAAGGGACAGGAGGAGAGGGAACAGCCTCCAGCTGTGCCAGGGGAGGGTCAGGTTGGACATCAGGAGGAATTTCTTGCTGGAAAGGGTGGTCAGGCCTTGGCAGGGGCTGCCCAGGGAGGTTTGGAGTCCCCACCCCTGGAGGTGTCCAAGGAAGGACTGGACGTGGCACTCAGTGCTCTGGGCTGGGGGACAAGGTGAGCATCCAGCACAGGGTGGACTCGATGATCTCGGAGGTCTTTTCCAACCTTAAGGATTCTGTGATTCCGGTAATTGCAATTGCACTGCAGTTTTTTAATTGCGTTCGCAGTCCGTGCATTGGGAGAAAACGCTGCAGCGGTGAAATCCCAGGCAGGAACAAGAAATGCGGATGACCATTGGAAGGGAAGGTTCCAGTCGTGACAGGGTTAACTTTTCCGGCGGTAGGAGGGGCAAGGCCAGAATGGAATGCGATCCCGCCCCTCCATGCGCGGGCGGGACAAAGAGGAAACGCGGGAAAACGCGTTTCCTCCTTCCCGGCCGCATCCCGCGTGTTCGCTCCTTGTTCCATCCATTGCTGTTCCCAGTGAGTTGTTCTTATCTCAACCCCCGTCCTTTGCCTTTTGGGCCTCCGATTCCCCTCTCCAGCCACCGGCTGGAATTCGGGAATTCCATTCTTAAACCACCCCAGCCTAATTCGGGGGCAGGAAGGGTTGGGATAGAACAGATCTGCCCGCAGCGGGTCGGGGACGATTCGGATCCCAGCATTGGCCGTATTTAGGAACTGGCAATGGATACGGGGTGGCTGCACCTGTACCTGTGCGTTATGCTCTTTAGCCCTTATTATAAACACCCGCTCGAGCCCATCCTGAAGTACTATCCCAGGGCAAAGAAAGGACTCATCGCTGTTTTGGTGCTGTTCGTTGCGATAGTAATTTGTGACGTGACGCTCTGCGTCCGCCAGTCCATTAATAAACCTGCCCAGTCCGCGGGGAGAACAGGGAAGGGCTATTTTCTCCAGCTTCTCCACCGCTATTACTCCTTCAGGACGTACACAAGAGCTTTTGAATTGCCTTTCAGTGTTATGCAAAGCATCCTCGTTTTGCTGTGTCTGCCGAGTTTCCTCGGCACGGTCTACTACATGCTTAGAGGTGTGGTCCGCACCGTGTTTAGAAAGATAAGAGGATTTTTTAGCAGGGCCTTCCCGGCACTTGTCCCCAGGGTGTGTAATCAGGAGTGGCAGGGAAGGTGGGAGAAAATCGGCCAGCTTTTGGAGGACTATTTTCCTTCGATGCTTTGGAGGTTCACCCCTGAAGAACTACAGGACCCTGATAAAATGGCAGAATACTTGAAAGAAAAATGCCGTGACAATTGCAGGGAGGAGCGACTTATTGCCCTGTGCTGGGCCATGGCCAGTGCTTACCGGGCACTGCTGGATGCCGGGCAGCTCCCCTGGGGGCAAGAGAGAACAACTCTCAGTGTGGCCACTCAAACTCCAGCTCTGGGGAAGAAATCCAGGAGCAAATCAGTGGCCACTCAAACTGCAGCTGAACCCCTGCCAGAAGCAGTTGCCCCTGCCCTGAAGAAATCCAAGAGCAAATCAGTTCCCCCGGTGAGGGATGAAGAGGAAACGGGGTCCTCAGAAGAAGAGGAGGCAGGGGCAGCGCTGAGCCTGCAATGCCCATGCCTGGATAGGCTGCGCCATATCCGGAAGTATTTCCGGCGCCAGCTGAACGAGTCGGTGCTGGCCTGGCTGGCGCGGTGCTGGGCCTTCGGGGCACAGGATATAATACTGGATGGCAGAGAAGCCAGGCAGCTGGGATGCCTGGCCTGGAAAGTGCACATTGACAAGGGGATCGGGAAGACGGCAGAACCCCTCAGCCTCTGGAAGAGGCTCCTGTCCAGCGTGAAGGAATGGTGTCCTGCCAAGAATGATCTGTTTGTGCCCAGGAAAACGTGGAGGTACCTGAAGGACGGTGTCCAGTACCTGAGGGAATTGGCTGTGCTGCAGGTGCTCTACGAGGGGACTGTGAGGGAGGAGTTCCCCCTGGATCCGGGGAGAGCCTTCTGTACGTTCTACACGTGGCACAGGCTCCGAGAAAGCGCTCCATGGCCTTACTCCAAGACATTCCCAGCCATCGGATGGAGCGCGCGGCTCACGGTGAACAGACTGGCCGCCCGTCTCTGCCAGTACGATGAAGAGCTCTCTCGCCTCGCAGGGGTTAAGTTCCTTCCTTGGTTCAAGGACCGTGATTATTATCCCTGCAGAGTATGCCATGAGATGCTAGGCAAAGACAGGTGTGAACTGGAATGTGGGCATGAATTCCACAGGGAATGCATCAGAACGGCGGTCTCGCAGCTTTGCGGCATCTGCCCCATCTGCCGCAGCCCTGCTATCCTTGCTGAAGACATCCCTGAGCTTCCTGGATGGAACAACTCCAGCAAATTCAAAGTCGGATTTTTCATTACAGGAGAGCTTTAGAAGAGCTCCCGAAGAAAAGTGTTGGAAGAGAGCGAGGTCTCAAAGAATGGACTGGATTGGTTTCGTAAGGCTCAGAAATCCAGTGAAAAAAATGGGAATGAGACCCATGTTTGTGTGAGTAGATGTAGCTGGGGAGGGGTAGGATCTGGGCACGATGCAGATGGGTTACAATAAGGGGTGGGAATGTCCTGGTTCTGCTTAGGACAGGGTTCAATTTTACAGGGATCCCAGGGATATTCGGGTGGCACACTGTGAGCGTTCCCATGTGGATTGTTCCCTGGCCTGTACACTGTTAATTGGTATTTTTGTTTCTGTTTGTTTCCTTATTCCACTGCTGTTCCCAGTAAATTGTTCATCGTTCTTATCTAAATCCCTGATCTTTTGTGCCTCCAATTCCCCTCTCCATCCATTGGGAACACTACATTGGGGAATACCCTTCCTAAACCACAACAAGATCACAGTTCCATGTCCATTCCAACCCCCCACACACCAATCCACGCTCCAGCCCCCCCCCAGCACGAGGACACCATGGTCAGGGATGTGTTGTGAAGAGTTCCCAGTCACCCCCAGGGATTCCCCTCCCACCTCACAGGATACTCACACTTTTCTGATGAATCCTAGAAAAAGTTGTGTACGGGGCCAGGAACTTTGTGGACACATTTTCGTGAGGACAAGAAATGAGGATGCTTTTCTAAGGGAGGAAAGAGAGGGGAAAAAATGGAATTTGAGGTGCTGTTGATCCTGCTGAGGAAGAGCTGTGACCTGGAGCCAGCTGGGGGATCCCAGAGCCTGGAAACCCATGGAAAGGTCAGTGCTGGGCTGGTCTCCCAAGGATGCAGGTGGGAAGGGACACAGAGCCCCATCCCTGTGGGATGTCCTGGAGCAGCCCCAGGGCTGTGCCCAGAGGGAGGTTAGGATGGCTGGACAGGACCCTGCAGGGTGACAGCTTTGGGCTGTCAGTGTGTCCCCTCTTTGTGTCACACACCTCCCCCCCCCAGCCCTGGCACCTTGGTGACTTCCTGAACCAAAAATCCCTCGGAGGCTGCGATGTCTGGGATGCCCTCGGAGCTGAGCCCGCGGCGGGTGACGCTGCCGTACAGGGTGGGCTTCCCTGGAGGAAAAGGGGCAGCCCTGAGACCCCACAACACAGAGACCCCCAAGGCACAGAGACCCTCAGCCCACCCTCCCTGACCCACAGGGACCCAAACTCCCCCAGCCCCTCCTAATCCACATGGACCCCAAATACCCCCAACCCTTCCTAAGCCACAGGGACCCCAAACAACTACAATCCCTCCTACTCCACACAGACCCTAAACACCACCAACCCTTCCTAATTCAGAGGGATCCCCCCATAGTCCCCTTCCCCTCCTAACCCACAGGGACCCCAAAACGACCCCATTAATGACAGGACCCCACCTCCTCTTAAACCACAGAGACCCCCCAACCACCTGCATCCACTCCTCACCCAGAGGGTCCTCAAGTGCTCCCACCTCCCCCAACCCACAGGGACCCAAAATTCCCCCAGTCCCTCCTAACCCCCAGGGATCCCAATAATCTTCACCCCCTCTTAAAACCACAGCGACCCCCCCAACTGCCCCCACCCCTCTCTGCACCACAGGGCTCCCCAATCCCCCTGTCACACCCAGGGCCCCCCTGACCCCCGGGGGACCCCCCGGCCACTCACCGGGGCAGCGGCAGCTCAGCCAGGCCTCGCCCTCGTCCCTGCTGCGGAGAGAAGGAGCGGCCGTGAGCGGGACAGGGATAGGGACAGGGAACAGGGGCAGGAACAGGGAACAAGAACAGGGACCAGGGATAAGGACAGGGGCCGGGACTAGGGCCGCGACCAGGGACAGGAGTCGGGACCAGGGACCAGGACTGGGGCAGGGAACAGGGACAGGGAACGGGAACAGGGATCGGGGAAGGGAACGGGGAGAGGGAACAGGAACAGGGACCGGCGCAGGGGCAAGGAACAGAGACAGGAGCCGGGACAAGGGCAGGGAACAGGGAGAAAAGCCGGGACAGGGAACAGGGGCAGGGACCAGGGGCCGCGACCAGGGAGTGGGACAGGGGCAGGGACAGGAGCCGGGGCAGGGACAAGGACAGGGACAGGGACAGGCCCCGCTGGCACCTGAGCGCGCGGCTCCAGTCGCTCTGGATCCGGAGGGCCGCCATCGCCGCGGGGACACCGCCCCGTCCGCGGGGACACCTCCCCTTCCTCGGGGACACCTCCCCTTCCTCGGGGACACCGGCAGCACCCCGTCCGTGGGGACACCTTCCCCGCCGCGGGGACACCGCCCCTTCCGCCTCCGGCCGCGCGGGCCGGGCTGAGGCGGCACCGGCGGCTCGGGGGGAGCGGCAGCTCCGCGGGTGCGGGTACGGTGCGAGGGAGGAGGTGCCGGGCACCTTTGGGGGGGTACGCACCTATGGGGGGTGGGCACCCGTGGGAGAGTGAGGGGTCGGAGGAGGTGCCGGGCACCCGCGGGTGGGGGTGAGGTGGGTGGAGGAGGTGCCGAGCACCCGTTTTGGGGGTGCTGAGCAGCCACGCGTGGGGGTACACACGTATGGGGGGTGCTGGGCACTCATGGCGGGGTGGGCACCCCTGGGGGTGTAAGGCGTGGGTGGGTAGGCGGGGGTCGGGGAGGATGCTGAGGACCCACGGGTCGGGGGGTGCTGAGCGCCCGGTTTGGGGGCCCTGGGTGTCTGCAGGGGTGCTGAGCACCCATTTGGGGGGTCCTGGGTACCAATGGGGGGATGGGCACCCCGTGGAGTGTGAGGGGTGGGAGTGCTGGGCACCCACGGGTGGGGGTGAGGTGCGATAGGGAGAGCACTGAGCGCCCATTTTGGAGGGTCCTGGGTGTCTATAGGGGGGCTGAGCCCCTCCTGGGGGGTGCACAGAGCACAGGATCCCCCCCAGATAACACCCCCTACCCCCTCACTCCTTCCCAGTTCTCCCATGGCCAAGCCGGGACACTCCTGGAGCCGTGCGCCAGCGGGGAAGGAGGAGGATGAGGATGAGGAGGGTGAGGACCCCCTGGATGCCAGGATCGCCCGGACGGGCTGCCTGGAGCAGCACCGGGACCTGCAGGAGTGCATGGAACAGCACCGGGATTGGCGGCACTGCCAGACACAGCTCCGGGCATTCGGAGCCTGCATGGCCCGTCGGGAACAGCGGGAACAGGGACAGAGCCGGGCACACCCTGCACAGTGACACCACCCGGGACCCCCAGGAATGGGGGAGCTGTGCCTTTCACCCCCCTTTTTTTGCGTGATTTTTTTTTTTTTTACCCAAGTGCCGGGAAATCCACGTGGGAAATTAAATCTGGGAATTTAATCCTCTTCATCAGTGCCTGCAGCAAAGTGGGAAGGTCAGAGGGGTTTGGAGGATGTGGCCTCAATCTGCACCAGGCTGGACATCAGGAGGAATTTTTTCATGGAAAGGGTGATCAGGCATTGGAAGGGGCTGCCCAGGGAGGTGGTGGAGTCCCCATCCCTGAAAGTTTTTAAGGAAAGACTGGACGTGGCACTCAGTGCTTTGGGCTGGGGACAAGGTGGGGACTGGCCACAGGGTGGACTCAGTGATCCCAGAGGGCTTTTCCAACCTTAATGATTCCATGGTTGTGGATTTCCAGCCCAAAATGTCCCTGGCTCCACAACAGCCCTGCCGTGGATTTCCACTCCACGTCCTTCCCAAGGCTTTTCCCAGCACCAATAACCTCCTGTCCCACCGAATGGGATTTTGGGGATGGGATTTATCTCCAGGGAAGCCCCAGGATAATTAGGAGCGGGGGAAAAAAGGATCCTCCTCTGTCTACCACTTCCTGGCAAATAAGGCAAGAGAAACAAAGCAAAATTGCCTTTTGGAGGCTGGAAAGGGAAGGACATCCCTGGCTTTTGCCAGAAGGAACTTCCCAGACTGTTTCCCAGAAAGGTGGGTGCTGGGTTCCCCAAAATTGCAGCAGGATCAGGAGCACAAGCTGGACAGCCCCAGTTTGGGGGAGAGCGTTAATGAGTTACTTTTCCTGTGTTTAGTGGAAGGTCCTTAAAAAGTGGGGAAAAAAGCTTCCAAACAAACCAGTTTGGAATAGTTTTCTCTTGGAATCCACCAAATCTGCTTAGAACAGAATTTCTGGGATTGTTGCAGCACAGCATTATTCACCTGCAGAGATTTCTGCAGAAATTCCCACCTGTCAAAAGCAGGACAGGAATAAAAGAATAAGGAAGAACTGAAGGAATGTAAAGCCACATTCCATAGTGTGGAATTCCATTGCTCCCAGTACAAACCAGTCAGGTATAAACACATTATTCATCTTTATTGAGACAACCAACAGTGGGAATTCTTCCAATTCACCGAGTTCTCAGCACAGTGCTCATGGAATCCCCCTCTGGAGGCTGGAGCAGCCCCTGGATGGAGCAGTTTTCCTCACTCAGCCTATCTGTGCCAGCAGCTCTTCCAGCTCTGGCCGAGCCTTCAATCTGCTCTTGAAGTCGGCTTCTGTGTGCTGTGGAGGGAGGGAAAACCATCCAAGGAAATCAGGATTAACAGGAAAAACTAAAGGCTGAAATGCCCTGGGAGTGGGAAGTCACTCAGTGCTGGAAAACTGTTGGGCTTCTCACAAAACCCAAGTTTAACCCCCAACTCCAGAGCGAATTCCATCAAAACAGGGCACAGCGTTTGGGTTTCCTGTCTCAGCTTTGCTCCCAACTGCTCCATGAAGCTCCTGGGGATTCCAGGACAAGTGGTGGAGCATTGCTGGAGTGAAACATGCCCTTTGGACTCACGGGCAATGTGTGGCAGCAAAGGAAAGGAACCTGCAACCTGCCGTCTCCTGTGGATCTGTGGGACTGGCTGGGAAGTGGCACCAATTAGAGGAGGCTAAATGGGGAAGGAAACGCTCCTCAGGAATTGGAAGCAGTGGATTTTCATGGAGAAGGGAGGGCCTGGCTCTGGGAGATCCTGGATACCCTAAGCCCAGAGCAGGAGCAGCCAAAGGGCCAGGTCTGGATCCTCAAAGGAAATTCCTGACATGGATCATCTCTGCTTCCTGAAAGGAAGGGCACTGGGAAATGCAAACATACCTGTTTGATGAGGAGATGGACCCCCTCGGGCTGGTTACTCTGGATAACCTCCAGGAGTATTGGAGCAAATGTGGAACTCAAACCACTGATCTGAGGGAAGGAATGACACAGCTCCAGGACAACCATCCCAGCACAGTTTGGGTTGGAAGGGACATTAAACATCATCCCATTCCACCTCTGCCACGGGCAGGGACACCTTCCACTAGCCCAGGTTGCTCCAACCTGGCCTTGGACACTTCCAGGGATCCAGGGGCAGCCACAGCTTCTCTGGGAAAACCATTCCAGGGCCTCACCCCCCTCACAGGGAAGAATTCCTTCCCAATATCCCATCTAACCCTGTGCTTTGTCCATGTGAATCCATTCCCCCTTGTCCTGTCCCTCCATCCCTTGTCCCCAGTCCCTCTCCAGCTCTCCTGGAGCCCCTTTAGGCCCTGGAAGGGGCTCTGGGGTCTTTTGAAGCTGTTCCTAATGGTATTTTTAAATTTCATGGAATTTTTCCAATCATCCATCCTTAAACATGGCTTTTCTACCTCTTGTATGGAGCATTCTGCAGAAAATAGATAATAAATGTGGTGCCTGAAAATACATAAAGCCGGGAAACCTCTTCCTACTTCCACTTTGGGGGGAACTTTCAATAAGAGATCAAATTAAGGCTTTATGCCCAAATTACACCTTTCAGCTCCAACTGTGGAGGGGTTTGGAGAGCCTGTGCTGCAGGAGAACCACAGGAATATCAGGAAACAGCAGTTCCTACCTGGACAACCCTCTGGTGGGTGGTAAGGACTGCATCCAGCTGCATCTTGGATCCTTTCTCTTCCAGGAACAGCACCTCGTTGGTTTTGGTGGGCATGGCATAGCTGGGGGAGCCAGAGGGCAGAGCTTAGGACAGGCAGGACATTCCCTGTCCTAAGGACATTCCCAGTGCTCTACAGGGACGGATCAACCATCCAAGGAGATGAACTTTCCATGAGGAATTAATTCTGCAAACAGTGTGTCCTGCAAAGGAAGCACTGGCAGAGGCCAGGGGTTTATGGGAGGGGGATGAAGGAGAAGCTTGGAGCACCTGCTGCCAGGAAAAACCTGGACTGGCTCCAAACACCAGCCTGAGACATTTTACATTCTTTGTAGTTGAAGGAAAGCAACAGTTCTGACTTATTTTGTCATCAGGGACAGAGCTAAAAACTGCTGCTGCAAAGCACCACTCCAAAGACATTGTTCTCCCTTCAAATTTAACAGGAATACGACTGGGCAGTGGAGCAGACCCTGCTCCCAGCAGGATTCCAGAGACCTCAGCATCCCTATCCCCATTTCCACAGCACCAATTACATCCTTCTGCCCACCTTTTCCACTAAAATTTTCACTCCAAGGGCAAATCCTTCCTTTCTGGACACACTGAGCCAGGTCCAAGCTCAGAGGGCAGAACTGAAAATCCATGTTTTGGAGAATCCACCACTGTTTTCATTCCCTCATGGCAACTCAGGGCTTCTCCCAGTGCCTGCAGCTCCTTGGGAGCACTTCAGCACTGAGGTGGATAACCAAAATTCCTGCACAGACTGGATCCCTCAGGCATTAAATCCCAAGCTTAAAGCAAAGGAATGAGATGGAGCCAGGTATTTTTTCCTTGCTGGAACAAGCCCACTTGAACCTTCCTCATAATCCTGGGCAGAGGAGAGGTTTGGATTTACATCCACATGGGCATCAGAAGGACTGGATGGTGCCCTGGTCTCCAAGGTGTCCCTTACCTCTCGTTGACCTTGATGGAGAGCCTGTTGCAGAGCCTGTGGACATACTGGGCAAAGTGCTCCACCAGGCACATGTCATAGGAAGTCATCTGGATGTTGACATCTCCATATTCAAACTCAGTGCCAGGATTGATCTCCTTCATCTGCACTCTGTCCTTTTTCTTCTTTGGAGTCTGTTTTCCAAAATAAAATAAAACAGGGAGTTTGAGCGACGCTGGAAATAAAACCCCGCCAGGTTTCCCGTGGGGCTTCTCCTCTGACAGGGGTTTGTCAGCCACATCCCAGCCCATCTGTGCTCCCTCTCCCTGCCTAAAAACTGGGATGGCATTATCCTGACAGTTCTTCTCAGCTCAGTTCTTGGATGGCAGCACCACAGGAAAAATACCCCAAAGAAAACACGTCCGTATTTTTAATTTCTTCCAGAGAAAATTAATTTCTCCCAGAGGTAAAAAAAAAAAAAAAAAAAAAAAAAACAAAAAAGGGGGAGTAGAAACAGCAGGAGTACAACTCCTTTTTCTTTCAGGTCCTGTCCACAAGGCAGCTGGCTTGGTGGTGTTTCCTCCTTCCACAAAAAGTGATTGTCTTTCCAGGGAATGTCAAAAGGTGACATGAAAACAGGACCTGCTCACAGTAATTCAGGTGTGAAATTCAGCAGGAGGAGGAAATTTCTTCCTCCCAAGGGAATTTCCACAGGAATGTGCTGGACAAAATGAAGGCTGTGAGTGGGGGAACTTCATGGAATCATGGAGTGGTTTGGGTTGGAAGGCATTTTAAAGCTCATCCAGTGCCATTCCCAACCTTCTGCTATCCAGGGTGCTCCAACCTGGCCTTGGGCACTCCCAGGGATGGGGCAGCCACAGCTTCTCTGGGAATTTCATCCCAGCCCCTCACCACCCTCATAGGGAAGAATTCCTTCCCAATATCCCATCTAAACCCATGCCCCTTGTCCTGTCCCTCCAGGAATGTCACATAACACTTTTCTCCAAGAGAAGCAGCAGGAAACGATGCCATTATTCCCTCTGGATGTGATTTATCAGCCATGGAATTCATAAAATAATTCCTTCTGCCTACCTCTGGTGGGAGCAGGTATTTATACCTCCCAATTCCATGAGTAGGACGGGATCTGTAGGATCTGTGGCAACTCAGGAGAGCAGCACCTGGAAATGGAAGCAGAACTCCTGTCCCAACTCACAGCTCGGTGTGGGCAGCCACAAATAAGGAAGGAAGAGATTAAAAATATTCACTTCTCAGGTGAACTCTCAAGGAAACAACAAGAAACAATAAAAGAGGCTGTGGGTAGTTTGGGAGACCAGGAAAATGTTACAAAAAAAAGAAGAAAATGTTAGGAAAGAACATATGGAAGAGCATCAGCTCAGGTTATTTAACCAGCCCAAAATTGGCTAAAAAAACCCCTAAAATTAAAAGGAAACACAAATTCTCCACTTATTTGGATTAACAACAGACTTTACCTGCAGCACACAGATGGTTTTCTCTGGGTGTTGCTGCTCTGGAGGAAACAAGACAATGATTAAAAGCTCTGTAAGAAACAAGATAATTATTAAAGGCTGTAATTTCCTCCCATGGAAAAATATGTGGCAAATCTCCTTTGGCCATTTTTGGGGTGCTTTAATGCCTGTTATTGTGTTTTACTCCCTGGTTTCAGGCACTCACCTGCTAAGGGCAAATAGCTGCCTGAGCATCGCTCCCTTCTCCCAGCACAGCACCTGGAATGGCCGAAACACAAAGAGAGTGGCAGATCCTCAGGGAATTGTCACCAACACCCCCAGATTACAGCAGGGACAGGAGCCAAGGAACGTCTGGAGCTGTGTCAGGGCAGGGTTAGGCTGGATATCAGGGAAAGGTTGTTCCTTCAGAGGGTGATGGGGCACTGAACAGGCTCCCAGGCCCATCCCTTCCCTGTGTGTCCCCTACTCCCGTTCCCATTCCCGATCCCCGTACCTTCGGCACCGCCGCCATCATCCCATCCGCGGTCCGTCGCTCAAACCGTTTCCCCACTGGGCCCTGGTACGCCAAGACCGGGTCCCCCCCGCCCCGCGGCTCCCGCCTCGCGTTCCGCCCATCGACAATTCCAATTTTCGGGCAGCCCTGCGTTCCGCCCGCCGAGGCCTCACAAAGGGGGAAGTTTCTGGACAACACGCCATGCTGGCGGGGCCCCGGCGCCCTGCGAGAGGCGGCGGGCAGGGTGCGGGGGTCCAGGTGGTAATGGCGGACACCGCATCCCTCCGTCCCCGCACACACCAGGCAGCGCCGCCTGGCGGCAGCAGCTGCACAGCGCGCCCCGCCCTACGTCAATCACCGCGCGTCTCGCCGGCTACGGCCCGCCTTCCGCCCGCTCCTCGCCCGCTGATTGGCCTCTCGTCGCGTCCATCACGGTGCGACGGCCATGTTGAGTGTGGCGTGGCGGCCTTGTTGAGTGTGGCGTGGCCACGTGGCGGTGCCGAGTATGGTGTCCGACCCCGCCCCTGGGGAGGCCATCTTGAGTGTGGGTCTGGCGGCCATCTTGAGTGTTGGTCTGGCGGCCATCTTGAGTGTGGCGTCGCGGCGGCCATTTACTTCGTCCTTTATTTTTATTTCTTTATTTATGTCTTTAGAATGACTAAATCCTGAGTGGAGGAAAGTTGGGCTGGGAGGGACCTCCTCCCTGATTTCCCAGCGGCGAGAGAGAAGGAGGGCACGGGGGTCTGCCTGGGAAGAGATGGACGTTGTGCGGTCCTTGGAGCCCCCCCAAGCCTGGACAGCCTGGAGTTGTGTCAGGAAAACCCATCCCATGCCAAACTGCTTCCTCCTGCCTCTTCCACACAAACCATCCTTTCTCCCAGGCTCTTCCCTGCTCCCTTCTCTCCTGCCTAGCCCCGCTTTTCCCCCTCCTTCCATGGCCGATGCTCCAGAGCCCCCATCTCAGATCTGTTCCTCCTGGGTGGATCAGCTGGAATTTTGTGTGAGGACTCATTCCCTCTCCAATTGTTCTTGGCTGGAGCTGTCAGGGCTCCTGGTGGACTTTCTCCCTCCAGTTCATCTGAGTTCATCCACGTGGCAAGTCTCCTAGTGCCTTTGTTTCCTGGAGGGAACGTGGAGGGGGCAGAGGGAACTCACCTCACCTTTGCTCCCTCCTCCACAACTCAAGGACACAGATTCCCAGCTCCAAGCTGTGTTTCCCTGGTGCTCCCGGCCCGTGACAGAAGGGCCCACGTGGATGTTGTCCTGCCCTTTGATCCCACCTGGCAAGCCCCAGGCAAGGGGAATGCTCGAGGAAGGAGGCAGATCTGGGTTAAGGCCGGCACTCCCATTCCAGAAAACCTGGGCTTCTCCTCCCAGGAGCTTTGAATCCCCAGAGGAAATTGAGGAGGGGCTGCTGTGCCTGGAGGGGACTGGCTGGGCCTGTGTTTTTGGGGAAGTTGTGATGAGCACCACCATTAAGAGCACATCCAAGATGACTCCTTATTCCATGCCCTCAAATGCTGAGTGCCCATGGAATGGGGCTGCACCCCTTAATTCCCTCTGCCCCTCCTGGAAGCAGATCACTCCTCTCTCCACGACAGCATCTTTCTCATCTCTCCTGCTCTTGATTTTCCCTGGATACAAAGATAGTGCTGCTCTTGGCAGCTTGTTGTAGTGGCTGAGCAGCCTCCCTGTTGGGAACATGGCCCTTATTTCCAACTAGAATGTGCCTTTCTTTGCCTTTTGGATGTTTCACAGCCAGGGAGCAGAATCCCTGTTGCAGGAGCACAACCTCCCAACCTTTCTGTGACATTTGGAAAGAGAAGCTGAGGTGACTCAATGATTTCCTTTTTTATGTAATGCACTAAAAAAACCACCAGGCAGCTTTTCCTACTTTTTTAAAGGCTTCCCAGGCTGCAGAAAGGGATTGTTTCATCCATCCTCTTCTGCCTCACTGCAGGTTTCTCCCTGCCACAGAGCTGGATGTGCCCACACAGCCGGAATTCTGGCACCTGCCCCTCCTCAAGCAGCAACCTGGAGGAGCAAAGCTGCCCTGGGAGAGTTGAGATCCAGCACCTGGAAGTTTCCACTTCTTTTCAGGCTTGTCCCATGACAAAAACAATCCAAAAGTGTTTAAACACACCGTGGAAGAAAACCTCTGTTTTTCTGTGTCTCCTCCTCTGCCTTCAGCCATTGTTTTCCATGGGATCTGCAGGAAAGATCCCAGAATCCATCCTGACACATAAACAAGGATAATATATGTATTTAAAATTTGAAATTATTTAAAGCAGGTCTTTGACAGTCTGGATTCCCCTTGGTGCAGGAGAGCAGCCACACAACTGCTATGGATGTGCTCCCAGGTGCTGGGTGTGGAGCTGGATGTGAGCTCTTGCTCCTGCTCAGATCTTCATTAAAACTTGTTCAAATTTAATCACCTGGTTAAAGACACTTTTTCCTCTTTTAGTTCACTGGCAGTTCAAGGCCTGGAAAAAAAAGCAAAACGACACCTTGGAGAAGCAGTGAATCATGTTAAGGGAGTATAAATGAAACAATCAAAAATAGAAAGGGTTTCAAAGCAGGGGATTAAACAAGCATTTCCCTGACCATCAGAGCAGAGAGGCTCTGGAACAATCCCCCAAATGGGAAAAAAGGTGGACAACCTACTCGATTCCAGGTGGAAAATACCCTGTGGAGCTTTATTTGGACCTTGTTGAGTAGATTGCAAGAGATTTGGACCAACATGAATACGACCATGGGGCAAGAGCTGCAGACCCCGGGGGGCTCTGTCATCCAGCATGTTCTTGTTTCAGTGGGATATTCAGTGGAAGCAGCAGGTGAAGCCCCAGGAAACCCCCAAAATCACATTTTGTGTTCACATTCCAGCCAGAGAGTCTCAATCAGGACAGGATTGCACCAGTGTGGGAGAGGAGGGAGCAAGGCTGCACTGACAGGAGACACCCCAAAGCCAAGGTTTAACCAGGAAGGGCCAGGATGCAGCTGGGAACCTCCTAATGCGCTGAACCTTGAGGGCAAAATGGGGAGAAATGGGCAAAAAATAGCTATAAAGGGAGAGCTGGCCCCAAGGCGGAGGGTCCCCTACAAAAGGATGAGTGGGAATCATTGACCTTCCTGGAAAATGTCACCCTCTCTGAGGGATGTGCTGGGGACATCGTGGAGCGAGGGTCTCTGGAGATGCTCTGAGAGGAATATCTGTATCCATTTGGGATTAAGCCTTTGGTTTGAAGCACTGTGCTGGTTCCTCCCTGGAGCCCGTGTGGGCTGGGCACATCCTTGTGCTGCACTGATGCCGAGGCTGTTTCGGTGACGTGGTGAAAAGGGGTTTTATTGCAGCTGGAGAACTGGTGGGAGCTCCCACAGCAACCAAAATGGCCCAGATCTGTCCCAAAAAGGGCTCCAAGGGCTGGATTCCCTCTGCTCTGGGACAGGCTGGGAGCGCTGGGGATGTTCACCTGGAGACGAGTCTGGGGAGACCTGAGAGCCCCTTCCAGGGCCTAAAGGGGCTCCAGGAGAGCTGGAGAGGGACTGGGGACAAGGGATGGAGGGACAGGACAAGGGAAATGGATTCACATGGACAAAGCACAGTGTTAGATGGGATATTGGGAAGGAATTCTTGGCCGTGAGGGTGGTGAGGGGCTGGAATGGTTTTCCCAGAAAAACTGTGGCTGCCCCATCCCTGGAAGTGTCCAAGGCCACGTTGCAGCAACCCGGTCTGGTGGAAGGTGTCCCTGCCGGCGGCACGGGGGCTGGAACGGGCCGATCCCTCAAGTCCCTCCCAGCCCGCCCCATTCCCGCTCCGTGAGGGCGGGAGGCTCCCAGGGCGCGTGCGCGGGGCGGGCGGAGCGGCGGCTCCGGGAGCGCGGGGGGGGGGAGCGGCGGCACCGACACCGGCACCGACACAGACACAGACACAGACACCGGCACCTCACCGGGCTCCGCAGCCTTCGCCCGGGAGCGGCAGCACGAGGAGGAGGACGAGGAGGAGGAGGGCGGAAAGCAGCGGGAGCGGTCGCGGGTCCCGCCGCGGGGAGCGGAGCGAGCGCGGGGCGGCGGCGGCTCCTCCATCATGTCGTCGGGCGGGGACTTCGGGAACCCGCTGCGGAAATTCAAGCTGGTGTTCCTGGGCGAGCAGAGCGGTGAGTCACCGCCCTCCTCGGGCCGGGAAAGGGGGGGATCCCTTCGGACACCCGCCCGACCTCGGGGGAGCAGGAGGGAACCCCACTCGTCACCCTCCGTGACACCCACCCACCCTTGTGGGCGCATAAAGGGACCTCACTCGTCACCCTCCCTGACACCCACCCACCCCTGTGGGGACATAAAGGGACCCCACTCCTTACCCACCCTGACACCCACCCACCCTTGTGGGGACATAAAGGGACCCCACTCCTTACCCACCCTGACACCCACCCACCCTTGTGGGGGTCCCTTTCACTCCCATCCACCCACATACTCTTATTGGGGTCTAAGAGGATCCCCCTCCTCACTTTGCCTTCCACCCCTATAGGGGTCTGAGAGGATCACCCTCCTCACCTTCCCTGGCACCCACCCACCCTCATGGGGGTCCCTTTCACTGCCATCCACCCACATAGCCTCCTGGGGGTCTGAGAGTATCACCCTCCTCATCCTCCCTGGCACCCACCCACCCTCCGTCCTGGGGGTCCCTGACACCCACCTACCCTCCTGGGAGCCTGAGGTGTTCAGCTCTGGTTTAACACCCCCACACCCCCTCCAAAGCCTGTCTGATTCAGGAACAGTTGCTGATTCATTTGATCCCGGCCCCTCTGGTTTTTGGGGGGTAGGAGCCTCAATCCTCGCTGTTTTCCGTGTAAATACAGCGTTTTTCCATAATGGAGTTCTGTCTTGGCAGAGCAACGCTCTGAATATTTAATTCAGCCAGTGAGGTTTTCTTGCCTGTCTCTGGAATGAAAAAAAACCACCCAACCTAAACGCTGTCTCCTCCTTCCTGAGCGGAAGGCCTCTCTCTCCATTACTGCATTCCACATTTTCCCTTGGAAGAGTTTTCTGAAAAGAGCAAAAAAGCTCCTTTATCAGCTGCTTTGTGTAATCCTGCTCAGATACTGAGCGATCTTTGACATAATGAGGAGGTGCAGAATATTTCTGTCTCAGGGCGGGGTATTTGCTCCCTCAGCCACCTTTGGTCTCTGTGTGAGAGATTATGAAATACTTGGATTTTTTTTATTTTTTGAGGGGGGGAAAGGACTTATATCTCGGTATTTCCTCACTCATGTGGATGAGCTTGATGATAAGGCTGTCATTGAAATTATTCACCTATACATCGGTGGGTTTCTTTAGTCTCTGTCTTTAATCCTTTTTTATTTTGTGGTTTTGGGGTTGAAGCAGCTCTTTTTCGTGTCAGGAATTTGGAGAGCACAGGTGCAACTTGGGTATTTATTATTTTTCGGGGGGTTAGTCACCTGATGTACTTGCTGAGGTGATGTTTGGCCAGCCATTTTATGAGGATTTTGGAAGAGGGTCATGTGTAGAAAATGCTGGTTTGTTGTGGGGTTTTTTTGTTTGTTTGTTTGTTTTCCCCAGGTATTTGACAACAGCAATTTTAAATATTAGCAATCCATTTGCAAAATGTTTGGCTTGTATTCCTGTGTTTCTGAGCTTCAGTATCCCGAAGCTTTTCCTGCATGGAAGGTTGTGGCACCTGGTGCAGCTCTTAAATCTGAGCAGCTCTTTTACACGTGCATTTCTTGTCTCTTGCAGCAGACATAACGTCAGATATCTCCTTCCTGTAGGAATTTTTTCCCCTCTCAGCTCATCATCTTTGTTTGTACTGGGAGGTTTTAAATAATTCCTGATCATGACATCAAATGTAAGGAGGAGAGAAAGGATTCTGTGGGTACAGCAGAGCAAGATGCTCCTGAGTGGATATTCATCCCTGCAACTGCTGCCTTTGCCGGGGCTTAGGGATGGGTGGGAGCTGATTTGAATCCAGGGCCTGGCCAGCAGCTGCAGTCCTGCCTTTGTCTGGGATGCTGGGGATGGATGATTCCATGCCTGCTCCATGCTCAGTGTGTCCCTGCATCCTGTGGGTGCTGCAGCGTGGGCACGTTCCAGCACGGAGCTCATGGATGAGTCTGTGCTGGAGACATGGCTTTTCCTGAATTGAGTCTCCTCAGACGTCTCTGCCATGATGTCATTCCCTGCCATTTTTTATTTTTTTTCCTGCCCAGAGGGAGCATAGCTCCCATTCCAAATAATGTTTGGAAATCATTGCAGAAGAATCTCTGCTGCTGCAAGAAAGGGAGTTGGAGTGGGCTGTGCTCACACCTTTGTTTGGAAGGGCGAGGGAATTGCAGGAATAAAAGTTTTTACAAAAGCAGGTTTTGCATCTGAGGGGGATCTTTGTACAACTGTTGCTCTGGGTTGGTGCATTGGCTCCCTGTTTGGCTGGAAGGTTTGTGTGCCCTGTTGGAAGGCCAGAATTAGAGGTATCCCACTGCTGCTGCTGGGGAGGCTGAGTGCTCCTGCTCGGTGTACATCCAAGGGCTCCAGGATGACAAATGGAATGTCACAAAGGGCTGCCATGGCCGTGAGCTGCCTCAGCAGCCAGAGCTGTACACGGCCTCTCCAACAAATGCTATGGCTAAGGAAATCTGCACTGCAATTCCTTCCAGGGTCTGCAGTGGTACAGCCTCGTTCCATGGCAGATTTGGGAGTGTTTTATTCCTGTCTGGAGTGGGGTTGCAGTGCCTGGTTTTCTCCCCTCCCCTCAGCCATGTTGTGGGAGTCCAGTGCTGTATTCCCGTGGACTGCAGTGATCCTGCCTCCTCCTGCTGTTCACCACTAGCTGCAGGTTCTTTTTCCTGTGCTAAGATGCTGATTTTCCCTGCTCCTTGCTCCCCAAAATCTCCAGGGTTTGTCCCCCAGCCCCTCCCCAGCCCAGCCCTGCCGCATGTGCTGGGGATGCATCATGAGCCTGCAACATCATCCGTGTCCAGCCAGGAGAACCTTCTCCTCCTCCTCTCTTTCCATCCCTTATTTTTTTTAACTTACACCAGCAACTTCCCCAGCACTCCCCTTAATTGAATTACTCTCCTCAATGATTGAAGATTATACAGAGTGTAGCAGTTTTAAATATGCTAATCTTTGCTGAAAAGACAGGGAGAGCTCTGTGCTGGGGGATTAGATGGAGCTATTGTGTGTGGGGAAGTGTGTTTCTTACTGCCTTTGATCTGCTTTTATCAGGTGGGTTTTGTCAGCCCTAATACCTCAGGTTTGAGGAATTCTGGTTTCTGGGTCACACCAGTTAATGTACACATCACCTATATTGGGGTGGCTTGCAGAAAATACGATACAGATTCAAATATTAATAATTGTTGCATAGGAACACCTCTACTTCTTCATAAATGGATTTTTTTTTTTGATTGAATGGGCAGAACTGAATGCAACAGAAATATTTGCCCATCACGTGAGTTTATGCTGCAGCTTCCATTGGTGAGCAGGTCTGAAGGGCATCAGTGTGTCCAAAAGGAGTCCCTCTTGTCTCTCTCTCTGTGGTGGCATTTCTGCGTTGAGGAAGATCCTGGAGAAAATTACAACCATTTTTTAATCAGGAACTGAGAGTTTTAATATTGCAAAGATAGGGGCAGCGTAATAACTCATGGACTATAACTGTTTGGAGAGCACTAACGAGCTGTGCTGTTGCATAACTGCTGGTCCAGGCCCTGCTGAGCAGTGTGTGTTTTACTGGATGGCTGGAGAACTGCGGGTGCTTCGAGTGTAACCTGAAGCTGGTGTCACCCTGCCCACGGTCCTGCAGGGACTGCCATCCCTGTGCAACTTAAAACTCCCTTGGTTTTAAGGAATTCTCAGCTTACCAGCTCCAGGGAGCTGTTGGTTTGTCCCACTGGTGGTTTAAAAGCTCATCCCCTTCCCTCCTGTTTAATTTCTTGGATATTTGGGGTTGTATTTGGACTGTGTGAATTTTCCAGGGGTTATTGAACTTGGGTTTCTTGGGTACATGTGGAATATCAGCAATGCATCCCAACAAAGGGGAAGTCAGGCAGAAACACCAGGGTGGAGGAACAGCATGGATGAACCAGAAGCTCCTGGACAACCTCAAAGCCAAAAGGGAAGTCCACAGAGGGTGGGAGCAGGGACAAGTGGCCTGGGAGGAACGCACAGGGATTGCTGGGAGAAGAGAAGGCTCCAGGGAGAGCTGAGAGCCCCTTCCAGGGCCTGAAGGGGCTCCAGGAGAGCTGGAGAGGGACTGGGGACAAGGGATGGAGGGACAGGACAAAGGGAATTGGCTTCCCACTGCCAGAGGGCAGGGATAGATGGGATATTGGGAAGGAATTCCTGGCTGTGAGGGTGGGGAGGCCCTGGCACAGGTTGCCCAGAAAAGCTGTGTCTGCCCCTGGATCCCTGGAAGTGTCCAAGGCCAGGTTGGAGCAACCTGGGATAGTGGGAGGTGTCCCTGCCATCCCAAACCAGTCTGTGGTTCTTTCCCAGTGTAACCTCCTTGGGGTCTGATCCCTCCTCGCTGTCCTAAGGACCTTGAATTCCACCATTTCTCTTTTCCACCATTTCTCTTTTCCCCCATCCCTTCCTGCAGCGATGCCTGCTGGAGAAAAAGGCCTCAGTGTTTTGTGGTGCCTGTTCTCGTGGTGCCTTTTGATCCCTGGCTATTTGTGGAAGCCTCTGAAGGAGCTGCATCTGCTCTGGAAAGGAGGAGTAGCTGTGCCTTTCTCTGCTCTGGTATCTTTTCTGTCTGCAACTGAGAAATAATTTGGGATTTTAACCAAATGATCATCTTGTCCCTTGATGTGACACAATCTGTTGAGTGGTGTGGTGGTACCTGGCATTTGATCCACGCTCTGCAAAGCCCAGCTCTGAAGGTTTTGGTGGAAATGTAAATGGGAGTAATGGAGAAACAAAGGTAAGGAACCTCCTCTGAGGCCACCTCAGCAGACAATGGAGCACTTGGGAATTATCAGAGCCATTTTTTTCAGCTTCACTGGTGGTTAAAAACCTGTCTCCTGTAACGAATTTGTGAGGAAATAGCTGCCTTCTCCTTACCTGATAATTTAGTGCAGATGTTTAAAGGCTTTTTGTTGCCTTCATGCACATCCAAGTACCTGTTGTGTTCACTAATGATGATAAA